CGGCCCACCCCATTTCCCGTTTCACGGCTGCTTTTCCGTGGGACGTTTACACCCGACGAGCGGAACAGCGCCCGAAAACCCTGTCCCCTCCGGCCCTATTTCTCCTGCGGCGTCGAAGCCTCCTCCCTCTCTCTTTCTTTCTCTCTCTCTCTCTCCCTTCCCGGTCCCGCCGCCTCACGCCGCCCCCTCAGGGAGCGCGCGGCGCGGGCGCAGCGCGAGCACGGGCGCGAGCCAGAGCCCGAGCCCTGCCCGGCGCGTCACGTGGCGCACGAGCCGGCCCTCAGCCACGTGACCCCTTCCCACCGGTGTCGCCGGAAGCGCCGCTCTGGCCCGCCGGAGCAGTGCTTCCGGTGCTCTGTGGTGAGGCGGAAGGCGGCGGTTAATATCCGCTGCTGCCGGGGAGAACGTAGAAAAGTTCGGTGCCCGCGTCCCCGGCGGAAGAAAGTCCGCGGCAAGGTACCGGGGCAGCCTCCTGCCAGCGGCGGGAGGGGCCGTGCGGGGCGACGGGCAGAGTCCCCACCGCGCCTGGCCCCGTCCCGGTGGCGGCCAGCCCCGCCTAGGCCGCGGGCAGGCCTGCTGCTCGCTGCCCGCCCTGCTCCCCTCATGGCCGGCCTGGCGAGCAGGCCGCTCGGAGGGCTGGTGACCTCCGCGAAGGCAGAGGAGCAGCCGGGCCGAGCTCTGGTCTAACACGCCGTTTTCAACCCGCGGGGCCGGCGCCGTTTGGGTGGATGACAGGTTCAGACAGGGGGTCACATACCCAATTTCAGGACTGATCTGTCCCTTCGACCTCCTATAAGCCAGTCCTGCCCCTCTAAACTGTATTTTCCTCCATCCTTTGTTTTTTCCTGCAGCAAGGAGTTAAAAAACCCTTGCTGAATCACTGCTATTGCACAAGTGCTTCACTGTGCTCATGCTCAGCCCTGTTTTCTGCTTTAGTTTGTGTTCAGTGTGGTAAACACTAATTGACAATTTCACAGGTGTCAATACAAACGTTAAGTGCTTGGTTTTTGAAGCTCTCTCCTGTTTCCACCAAAGAGAAATCCATGGGGGGGGGAAAGCTGTGTACTTCTCCCAAGGGGGAGGAGGGGAAAAAAATACCTCCAAAGCTTCTACCAAGAATTCTTACAAACCAGGTTGATGACATATGCGACTTATGTCACCAGCACACTGTCATTTGAACAAGATGTGGCAATAGATGATGTGCTTTCCCTCTGTTTAATATAGGGGTATTTTAGGTAGCATAGCAACTGTCAGATGACTGCCATGGATAGCGCTCTAATAATTATTTTATCTTTTATAGAAAACAAGTTATTTTTTTAAATTAGAGCATCTTGCAAGAGTTACGATTTCTAATACATCTGCAAATTTTGAAAATTCAGATAATCACTTTTCTATTGACCTAGTGTGCTTCCTCATCCCCACAAACAACCCCCACCTTTCACAGCAGGAATAAGTCAAAAGTTAGCATTAGAAACAAGCCTGATGTGTAGTCCATAAGAGACGTCTTTAAATAGAGTTGTTTGGTATTAGCTAAGTTGTTAAAATGTTAACTCAGCTGCAGTGAGCTTAGTTAACAGTGCCAGTTACGTTGGTTTGAAAGACAAACTTTGTGCATCTAATGAAAAAAAAGATTAGTTCTGAGTATAGCTGGTTCACTAAGATGGTAATTCCAGAATTAAATTTAGTGCATTTTTAGTTTTATCTAGGCTATCATTTCATTACATGTTTTTAAAATTACTTAAATCTAGTCTGTCAAGCTTATGGATAAGGGTTTGCAGCACAAATCTGATTGATTTTAATGCTTTCTCTCTCTCTTTTTTCTTCATAGAAACTGTTAAAGACTTCAAAGAATTAATTTTAGGCAAAATAAGTGAAGTTGTTCAGATAAAGTAAAATGGATCCTTGTTCAGTTGGAGTTCAGCTTCAAGCTACCAATGAGTGCCACAGGATCTTTTATACTCGTCACACTGGCTTCAAGACTAAGCAAGATCTGTCTTCATCTGATCTACTGTTACTTCAGCTTAGGACTGGAATAACCCTTTCAGAGAACAATACAATCTGCTTCCACCATGCAAAAATTTACATTGAAAGATTTGAAGACTTACAAAAGTCATGTTGTGATCCCTTTAACATACACAGAAAACTATCGAAGAAAAACTTGCGAGCAATTGACTTGGATGACGCAACTTTTCTAAGTGCCAAGTTTGGAAGACAGTTCGTACCTGGTTGGAAGCTTTGTCCCAAATGTATGCAGATAATCAACGGAAGCGTGGATGTTGAATCCGAAGATCGCCAGAGAAGGAAACTTGATCCTGACGTATGTATATGGATCAGTTTTCCCACCCTGCTAAGATCTGCAAGCTCTTGGAATTGGGCTTCATGCAAGTCCTACATAAAGAAATTAAGGTTTTTAATAGGGTGTAGTCTTGTATGGGAGTTTACTGTAGTTAAACCTTTATTTGGAGGACCTTAAAAAAATCCTCTTCCCTAATTTAATATTATAGCCTTTTAAATTCAAATGACTCTGTCTGCTAGGGTGACTTACAATTCCTAAGTTTATGTAAATACCAGACTGCTGCTGGTATTTTAAGCTGTTACTCAAGCCTTGCAAAAAACAAGTTTGCGTGCTTAAAACTGAGCACTGCAAATGTTCTTCCTAAGGATGTTGAGATAAACTTCTGGTTTAGTCTGTTCAATTTAAAAAAAAAGAAATCCACTTTCTCTAGAAGTTAATTACCAAGTGAACCTGCATTGGGATGAATTAAGTGTACTCTTCTTGTGTCTGTGCTGTGAAGGCCATGGTGTTTGTTCAGGGGCAGTAATAAACTGGCGTGGGAGGCTAATGCTTTCAGTGCTGAGTTTGGAATACAGCTTGTACATTGTTGGATGCGTTATTCAAGACGTGTGCAGGTAATCTGCAGGAGAGTGGGCAACCAAATTGGCAAGAGCTCATCCATATGTGCCCTGTAGCAAAGCAGAATTGCATTCTAGAGCCATTGTCCCTTTCAGCCCACAGGCTGTTGTTTAACTGTATTTTTCAGTTATATGTCAGTATGGTTAGGAGACTGATAGGGACTGAAGTTTGAAAGCATTGGTTAAAACTGCTACTATAAAGCTTGCATAGTTGGGGTTTGATACTAGTACAGTTCTCCAGTATAAAAGTTTTAAGACTTGGGTTGTTTCTCCTGGGAAAGCCAGTGCTTAGAGTTGAGGGCAACAGTTCACCTAAGTTATTACAACATTCTGGCTTGTCTGGACATTTTCTTATTAGTTTAGGTTTGTATTTGTAATTAAATGAGATTTTGTGTCTTTGTTCAGGGGCGTACAGCTAAGGCTTTAAAGTCTCTACAGTTTGCTAATCCGGGACGACAGACTGAATTCACTCCTGAGACCAGTAAGAGGGAAAAGAGAAGGCTGCAAACAAAAACTGCATCATTTAATTCAGACAGGTGAGCTGTTTCCTGTATTTACATTATCTTTAACTTTCACTTCAAAATTAAGTGTCCTTGTCATGCTAACACTTTCTATATGGATGTTTGCATGTTTATGGATCACTTTTTTGGTTTTGAGGATGCTAAAGCTCACTGTCCTTACTAAAATAAACAAAACAGAAGATAAAGTGTTTAAGCATACAGTCCATATTTCAGGCAATTAGAATACAAACAAGTATTTGGTAAGACATGACAATACTACACAGATCACAGATGAAGCTATTAATTTATGCATAAACTAAAATTCCTAAATATTAGGCCAAATTTGAATATATTATGATCAAATAGACTACACTTAAAATACTGGAGTTGTCATCTTCCCATAAACTCAGTATTTACACTTTGTAAACATAAGCATACAAGTTAGGACCTTACCTTCCTTTTAAAATAGGAAGTTAATGTCCAAGTTGGACAATACTAGTTAACAAGTTATGACCTTCTAACATGACTGATTTTAAAATCACGCTTTTTACAGAGGGCAGGTATATGCAGTTGAATTTTGCCTGTCATTTTCCACAAAAAGTTTGGACCAATTCAGTCTTGTCCTAGCAGGAGAGTGATAGAAATCCCAGCTTTAAATAGTCATACAATATTTGTTAAAACATGCAAGAAAGATCACATTGATGCCTAAGTTTAACCTTGCAAGACAAAAACAGACTCTAGATACACTTCTCACAACCTACACATCCTTTTCCCCTCCATTTGTTTCTTCTATTCAATTTGGGCAGAAGTTGCAACCAGGGACATTTTGTTGAGATGTTAGGAAAACCTTTTCCATGTATGTAGTAAAATGCTGGATCAAAAGTGTTGTGGCATATCTGACATGAGAGCAATTCAGAACTCAACTAGATGCAGTGCTCAGCAAACTAATTTGAGTTGATGTGGCTTTGAATAGAGGTCCCTTCCAAACAGTTTTTCTGTGATTCTGCAGTTTAACAGAACTGTTACAGAGATGGATAATGATAAAAGCATAAAAAAATACTTTTAAATTAGGGTGTGCACGCCCTGAATGATTCTGTATGACCTCCTTTGAATTACAATGACGTGTTACAAAAGAAAAGTAAATTAAGGAAGCATTTCACATCTGAAAGGTAATCTGAAGTTTACGTCCCATAATGAAGAATATTCATAAGTGCTTGAATAAGCATGCTATTGAAGAAATAAAAACTTCTCATGCTTGAAATTATTTCAAAAGCCTTATAGTGGAGAAACAATTAGGACTGAGAAATGTTGTCAACATATATACAAGTTTAAGTAACATATATACATCTTTTAAATTAGCATTGTCTTAAAATGAACACCCGAAGAAAGCAAACTTCTTTCCACAACTATTAGCAGCTTGGCATCAAAAATGTGTGGGTTTTTTTACATGGAAATAACTCCTGTTTTTCTTTAAACAGGCAAGTTATACCAGCCAAGAGTAAAGTCTATGATAGCCAGGGCCTGCTGCTTTACAGCGGGATGGACCTCTGTGATTGCCTCGATGAAGATTGCCTGGGGTGTTTCTATGCTTGCCCCAAGTGTGGCTCCAACAAGTGTGGAGCAGAGTGTCGCTGCGACCGCAAGTGGCTGTATGAGCAAATTGAGATAGAAGGAGGAGAAGTAATTAAAAATAAACATGTTGGTTAGCGTGTATGTGCATTGTTTATTCTAAGTAGATATTCCATGCTTTGATTAAGGTCAGCACATTCATCATTTAGTGGTTTAATAAAAACCATTGAATTTATCACAATTTACAGGATTAATGTGTTCAGTTTCACGTTCATTTTCAGCATGATTATGGAAATACTTTTAATCATGCTACTGTCTTTTCACACTTCATTCTACCTTGTATTCAGTCTTGTCAGTCATCTAAGAAGTTCTTATTGAACAGTCGTTCACTGTAATTAAGTATAAGGAGCTGCATTTTCATGTGGCAAATCCTGAGCCACTCACCATTGTTTCCTGTACTGTTTTGTAGAATGTACCATGTCCGTGTATCCCTCATTTTTCCTTCTCTGTTTCATGATCTCATGGTTTTAAGTTTATTTTATGTGAAACGCTCTTAAAAGTTCTCAGTGAATTTACATGCAGTATTAATAAAGCTCTCTCCAGTATTACTACTGAGTGCTGTGTCTTCTATAGATTATTCCAGCTACATCCGATAAATTCAATCCTGTTCACTTCAATGGATCCAGAGGCATTTAGGAGTTCAGATCCCAACCAGGTTACTGGGATTTGAGATCAAGTTATCCTTAAGAATTCAAGCCTCACTGTTAAAGTATTATTAAACTGCCAAGGTGTTGAAAAATATGTTATATAATATAAATATGGTACTGTTTTGTTCGTTTCTGTAAAACAGAATTGAAATAATTTTGCTGTATTGGTTACCAGTCTGTAGTTGGACTAGACTGGTATTTCAACAGCTCTTTCCTCCCCCCCCCTTTTTTTTTTCCTATTTACTTGTTCTTAAGGAAAGGGTTTACATGCAGCTGAAATGAATTTGAGTGTCTGTTCCCAAACTACAAATATCTACACTGCTACAAAAAAACCACAGTTGAATTGGTATTACATTTGGTTGATGCATTATCCTATCCTCACAACATTACAATTTTACGATACAACAAGATTTATGGAAGAGATTTTTTTAATGTAAATCTTAGCAATGTTAAGTTGAATCCTTTGGTATTTTTGTTGTGTTTTGGATAAATTTCCTATTTCTGTGGTAGACTTGGAAGATCTGCATATTTATTGGGTTACATTTATGCAAGAACACTGTTAACTATTGATTGCTGAGGACTTACTTGCTAAAGTAAGTGGGACAACATGAACCTCATGAGGTTCAACAAGACCAAGCCCAAGGTCCTGCACCTGGGTTGGGCCAACCCCCAGTATCAGTACAGGCTGCCAAGAAAGACTTGGGGTTACGGGTAGATGAAAACCTGGACATGAGCCAGCAGAGTGCACTCACAGCCTAGAAGGCCAACCATATCATGGAGTGCATCAAGAGAAGCGTGGGCAGGAGGTCAAGGGAGGTAGGTGATTGTGCCCCTTCTGCTCTGGTGAGACCCCACCTAGAGTACTGTGTCCAGCTCTGGAGCCCTCAGCACAGGAAAGGCATGGACCTGTTAGAACAGCTCCAGAGGAGGCCACAAAAATGATCAGAGGGATGGAACCCACCTCCTGTGAGGACAGGCCAAGAGAATTGAGGTTTGTTCAGCCTGGAGAAGCGAAGGCTCCAGAGAGATCTTATTGCAGATTTTCAGTATTTAAGGGGGGCTTATAAGGAAGATGGGGACACACTTTTTAGCAGGGCCTGTAGTGGTAGGACAGGGTTAATGGTTTTAAGCTAAAACAAGATAGTTTTAGACTAGATACAAGGAGGAAATTTTTTGACAATGAGGTTGGTGAAACATCGGTACAGGTTGCCCAGGGAGGTGGTAGATGCCCCATTCCTGGAAACAGGATCATCAGGGCTCTGAGCAACCAGATCTCCCTGTGCATTGCAGGGAAGGTTGGACTAGACCTTTCAAGGTCCCAACTATTCTGTGATTCTATGATAAAGTTGGATAAGTGTCGTGAGGGTTGCACCACTAAAATCCAAAGTTATGCTTTGAGCTGTACTGACATCTGCTGGTCCTAGTGAAGTATAAGCTTGAACAGACTTTTGTTTGTTTGTTT